AAATCAGTCTTATCGCAGCAGGTGGTAGCCCCGCCCACCCACCCTCTCTTTTCTTAGAGGGTGTCTTTTGCCAAAGTCAGTGTTATCTTAACAAGTACTACCCCCGCCCACCCGCCCCCGCTATTCTCATTCTAAGGACTAATTTTATTTCCGTTTAGTATGGGATCCACTTTCACTCAGACCAGATAAAATGAATCACTGAAATTTTTGTGGTTAATTATATGTTCTTCTGTAGAATGGGAATGGGACTGTTAAAAAAAAGGGTGGGTGGGCGGGGCTAAGTTTAACTTTTTTTTGCAGAGTTCTTTATAAGCAAGGAATAGCCCCGCTCAGCCGCCCTCTATTTTCTTAAAAGGTTATTTGCTAAAGTCAGTCTTAACTTACCAAGTACTAACCCCGCCCACCCACTCACGCTATTCTCATTCCAAGAACTATTTTTATTTCTGTTCAGTATGGCATCCACTTTCATTCAGACCAGATGAAATGGATCACTGAAATGGAGGCGGGGTGGGTGGGCGGTGTTAATTATATGTTCTTCTATATTTATATATTTTTCTTCTTTCTATATATTTTTTGCAAAAACAACAGTTTTCCATTAGCGTAACTCCACATTTGCATTTTTGTGTGAAACCAAATTTCGATTTTAAATCATTTTTCAAAAATTCTTAAAGTCTGATATTGTACAAAATACAACACTCTGAAATCTTCAACATTAAATTGTCAACATATATTAATATGTATGGATCAGTTTATATCAGAGGCTAGTAAAAATAAACACAGGCAAGTTAACATTGCATATATTGATTTCAGCTTGATTTATTACTGAAAAATTTATATGTAGGTTTTAGCACAATTTGATTTCTTCATATTTATTTAGTAGGCAGGCGTTTGTGGACGGTTTTAAATCTAAGCCTATTTCCATAACTTCAGGAGTACCACAAGGGTCAATATTAGGACCTTTAATATTTATATAATTTATAAATGATGTCGTTAATAGTCTAAACTTGTGCATGCTGATGATCTAAACATTTCTTGTCATTGATGTTATAGACTGAAAAGTTACAATCCGGTTTAAACGGAAATTGATGAAGATGTAAGTAAAAGATCTGAAACGATGTGAGTTTTCATATTCAGAACTTGTAGAGGTTTTCAGAATCCAAAGTTTTTAAAATTTTTTACAACTCATGTCAGAAGTGTTCTGAAATATGGTATAATTAAAGTTTTACTTAAAGGATTCTAAAACCACCTGTACACAAATTAATAAACTCATTCAGTTGAAATAGAATTTTTTTGTGACATTAACAACTCTGTGTTTAACAATGTTTAGCATTTTGGAATGAATATTCTTGGACAGCGTAGCTGTTGAAACGTGTTGATTGAAATACGGTGTCGTGGGGATAATAACGTATTTGAAAATGTGTGTAAATGACGTCACTCCCCAGAATATTTGCTTCGAAATGGTCACTAATTAAAAAAAATTATAAGTTTTTTAAGAGTTTGTATGTCAATAAACACACATTACCCGAAATGACTTAATTGAACCTTTAAAACTAATAGTACACTTTAGGCTCCGTTGTTATCGGCGCAGTTAGAACACCCCGAAGTTAATTTGTGTTGGTTGGCAACTTTGGAATTTTCCTTAAATTTAATTAAAAATATAATTAGGTCCTTGGGTGTACTACTTTTGTATTTTACATATTAAATTATAGTTTTTATGGTTATTTTTTGATAAAGGAACCCTAGTTCCCCAAATAAGTAGTCGGCGTTGGTTGTGATTTTACAACTGTAATTAACAACCTGATTCTTGCAAATTTTCTCGTGCAGTGAATTTGTGGGGTGGAAATTATAATTAATTCATAACACGTTGATGTACAAACACTTGTGTGCCACTGACCTCAATTAATTTTAACTTCGAAACAAATTAACGTGATATGACAGTTAGAATTTGGTCTGGAACTGCTTACTTATTTTTATAGTGACCAAATTAAATAAGGAAGCTGGAAACGCTATATGTTTAAGCTTATTTGAGCAACGTAAATCTGAATACTACTATATTATTAGCATACATGGTTGCAATGTGACTTTTAACCTGCAAAAACAATTTTATCTTTGCTGAGACAACGTTTTACTTAGTTATAAAAATCGTCGCAGTCACGTGATGTAATAAATATTTAAGTACAGTTATTTTCCTTCTGTTACAAAATGTAACTGAAATTAATGAACCTTTTTTAATTTAATACAATTGTCATAGTCAAAGTGTTAAAATATAAAGTTTCGTTATATCACTAGAGAATTATTTCTCTATTATTACCACGGCGTCCAATTGTTAATTTCAGCTGCATACAGTAGAAGTTGCAATCAATACTTTTGAGATACACTCAGCTATGTTTAGTTATTCAAATCACGTGAGCAATATTTTTAAAAGAAAAGCTAGCATTATTTTTCAGTAAAAAATGTCGTAATCATACTATCATCCCCTAATTTAGGTTTTCTCCCCTCGGTCTTGATAGAGGTCTACCTACACATTTTCGCATGCAGGGTATCTCCTGAAAATTTTATTTTTCAGAAGCAATCTTTAAATTATAACAGTGTTTACTCAGGCGTAATGTAATATTATGAACTTTCTATCTAATATTCATCAATTTGCGTAATTAACTTTGCATAATGGAAATTTATACGGTTTGAATGCATGCAACTAAGCAAACGTTATTTAATATAAAAATGTTCAATTATTTAATTATAAGGGCATGAAATCGGGGAACATGTGATTTTAATTAAATTCGTTTTGCTCTATTCTTCCATATTTAACTGCTATCGGTCGAATTTACACAGTACACGTCGGTGTTTAATCCCCAAGCAATAACTCCGATTAGTTGAAATTTGACAATCGGTAAAAGCTAAGTTTAATGATAAATTGACGCTTGCTTAGTAAAATTGACACTAATTGCTTAAGTACTGTGACGTCATTAGGACCGTTTCGTTTTTGGTCCACAAAACAAGACTATCAGAACACGAAAGATAATAGGCAAATATATTATTCATGACAGCCAAATGCAGAAGACTGTGTCAGAGATTGCCTCGCTTGCGGCGACAGACTCCTTATTTCTTACCCTTGCTTAATCAATACCATAACTTCATGATATTATTAAACAACCTGACAAATGGAATGATTTACAGTACAGTGTCTACAAATAAACGTACAAGAACACGACAGCATCAAGCCTGCAGTCATTTAGTGCATTTGGTTTCTCCCCTTTTCTCGCACCCTATCACTGACCACTCTATCCGTTCCATTTGAAATTGTAAATAAGAGCTTAGGCAGCCACTCAATAGGTCATCTAGTTTATTGGACGTCAAGAGTCACTATGTGAAAGGAGAAAAGTTCCGATAATCAACTTGAACCACTATTGTGGATGTTTTGAGAAATGAGGGTGCTTTAGTGCACGAGCTGTTTGTATCTTGATAACGTGATTGCACCTCCATCCCATTTCATCTCTCGGTTCGCAAAAAAAAGATTGACTAGCCGCCACCTCGACCGTGTAGCACAGTAACAAACGTTGCGCCAAATTAACAAAGAAAAAACAAGAAGAATATCCGGGGTTTAAGAAAAGGTAGCGAAGTTCTCATTACAAATCAAATTAATTACAAGGTTTCACTTCTGATTTTAAATTGGTCCCTAGATCGAGCATCAGATTCACGTTGTACAGTTCCAGATTTACACCAGACGAAAATTCGTAAAAATACTGTCTATTCAAGCTAGCAATGTACAAAAGACGCCAAACTTGCACCGTCCAGAGTGTTTAACTGCTAAATTATGCAAACGATTTTGGCCCATTTGTGAAATTTTTAATTGATCTACGTCTATAGCTAATAAAGCATAAAAACAGTTTCACTCCGTCTCTGTTCTAAATGATTAAGATATAAAGTACACGTACAAAGTGTGTGTTGACTTACCTTAAGTTCCACTGGTGATTTTACAATTTTAAGGAATTGTTTCCTGATTTTACAGCACTTTACTTGCAATGGAGGTAGACGCTCAACGGTATTCATTCCCCACCACGAAATACAGCTTGGAACCAATGACAGGTTGATTCTGATCAGTTAAAACAATTTCGTCATTGTTTGAACCTGTTTTAACCAAGGCCGACTAGAGAAACTCTCGACTGGCCATATTTTTCCTATACCTAAGCTTGAAACGTAAAACGTAAAACCTAATTGTACGTTTTACGAATATTAAAATCAGCATTTAATACGCATCGTACGTTTGAACTTGATGTATTACGTTTTTATAATATGTGTTATCCTTTTGACCGTACTGTAGTGTTTTGGAAGTGTATGGGTAAAGAACGCTCCGGTTTAAGACGGGTAATGAGAGAAATAATCATATTCAAACGCAGTTTATCAATATAACCCATGTCTTTTCCAGAACGGCTGCAATATAACACAGCAGTCTCGTATAAACCAGTAGCGCGTAGAAGATAACTCGAACCTATTATCCAGATTATCCTTTAAACGGAATAAATGACCACGAGGGGCCAGTTGTATGTCGGCACCTTATCTCCTTCCTTCGAACAACGATTTCATATATAAAATATACATATCTGGCGAAACGAATATGGTCAATATTTCTCGATTCCAATTATAAAAAAAGATCATTTTTGTCGTTCGAAAGTGTATATTAACACAACAAGAAAGACAAAAATAAGGCAACATTTAGTAACTGAGGACTAATAGTCGTAAAAACTAAGAATTAGGTTCAGGATTGTGAATGGCGCCGAGGACTCTTATCCCAAATGGACGAGTGTCCTGAGACCGATAAAATCAAGTTAGGTGTCTTGATGCCCAGAGGGATTTTACAATTCGTGCGTGTTGGCATAACGCCCTATATAAAATTATATTCGTTGCGATGAAGTTGAAGCGGAAAAATATAATCAGATATAGTTTGATATATACGCAGTGGACGCATAAACACATCACATTTTCACGTTATGTTGTTGCAGGATGATGGCACGATGGAGCAAGACGTAGATGGGGATGGTGCGATTAACCTTTCTACTTCGCAAAGACCATCAGCTGCGACTACCCCTAACGATAGCGTGCATAACGAGGATGGCGAACAGGTATTTAAAATACAAAATTTTGACACGTTTTTGAAGAATCTATTACAAATATACAAACATTTTTAGCCTTAAGCAGCGTCCAATGATAGTTTTCAATTTTTAAATGAATAATTTGTTATTGATCTGATACTGACACGTAGTGGCGTTTGTTACATATCTGTCAAAATTTTAACGTTAATAACGCGGCAAGATTGATTGATTGCCAGTCAAGAAATGACATCTTGATAAGATTATTTTTGTCTGTAGAAACAACACAACGTGGAATTTTTACAAGTTTTAGTGTAGTGTTGATAATTTGAAATTTATTAGTTAGCTTGACACATTTATAATTAAATATCTGTGCGTGCATGTAAAGCGTGACTTTAATTCGTTGTTTAGTTACACTGATGGGACTAGAAGTTTTTTCATGAGCTGTTGATGCCCACACAGAGAGATTTAAACATATTTTGTTTTGATTTTCACAAATTTGAAGCTATTTTTTTAAGGACACTCAGTTATATAATAAAATGATTTAGCAGCATTAAGAGGAAATCAGGAAAGTTGCGAGATAACACTGCAGGAATTGATTGACCAGTTTGATCCAGCTTAATGAATTTCAGAATGGACATTTTCAACTTATTGTGAAGTTTTTGTCATTTAAGCTAGATTTCAGCAAAATTGTTGAATTTATTAGAATATGTCCCAATATCGCCCACAGGTTTTGTGTTCATGAACGCACACCATTAAAAATATTTAAACGAAAAACATTTGAAAATAAATTTAATGTTAAATTCAGAAAAACTGGATAACTGTAGTCCTTTGCAAGATATATTTAAAAGTGACACTGAAATATGTTCTTTTAATTTTTGAAAATATAAGTTTTTTTGTCTACAACAGAGGCGGATCGAATTTGCTGACCCAGCGCTTTATAGGCCGAAATTTTACTTCATTTAAAAGTATATAAAATTTGAACTCAGGCATCGACCCCTGTGGGTCTTGTTTTTGAAGTAATTTGAAAGAATCTCGAGGACCCCTTGGGTTTTATTTTTGAAATAGTGGTAAGGAATCTTAAGAATCTCTTGTTTCTCATTTCTGAAGTATTTGAAATAATCTCAGGTCCCCTTCTTGTTTTATTTTTCAAGTAATTTGGAATCTTGGAAACCCCCTGTGGGTTTTGTTTTTGAAGTAGTTTGAAAGAATCTCGAAGCTTCCTTGTGTCTGATTTTTAAAGTACATAGTTTGAAAGAATCTTGGGGACCTCCGTGGGTTTTGTTTTTGAAGTAGTGTGAAAAAAATCTTGGAGTCCCCTTGTGAGTTTTGCTTTTTAGAAGTGATTTGAAAGAATCTCGGGGACACCTTGTGCCTATTTTTGAAGTGGTTTGGAAGAATCTCGGGGACCCCTTAGGTTTTATTTCTGAAGTAGTAGTAAAGAATCTCAGGGAACTCTTGTGTCTCATTTCTGAAGTAATTTGAAAGAATTTCGGGTGCCCCTCTTGTTTTGTTTTTGAAGTATTTTGGAATGTTGGGTACCCTCCTGTGGGTTTTATTCTTGAAGTAATTTGAAAGAATGCCTGGGGCTCCTTACGTTTTATTTTTGAAGTAGTTTGAAAAAATCTTGGGGACCCCTTGTGAGCTTTGTTTTTACAAGTAATTTGAAAGAATCTGGGGACCACTTGTGTCTGTTTTTTGAAGTAGTTTGAAAGAATCTCGGGGACCCTTTCATTCTAAAATAATTTGAAAGAATCTCGGGAATATATCTGTGTTTTGTTTTCGAAGTGTTTTGGAATTTTGGGTACCCCCTCGTGAATTTTGTTTTTGAAGTAATTTGAAAGAATCTCGGGGACCTCTTGCGTTTTATTTTGAAAGAATCTCGGGGATTCCCTGTGTCTGGTTTTTAAAGTAGTTTGAAAAAAATCTCGGGGACCCCTTATGAGTTTTGTGTTTTAAAAATAATTTGGAAGAGTTTCTGTCTATTTTTCGAAGTAGTTTGAAAGAATCTCGGGGGCCCCTTACGTTTTATTTTTGAAATAGCAGTAAATAATCTCGGGGACTTCTTTTCTTTCATTTCTTAAGTAATTTGAAAGAATCTCGGGCGCCCCTCTTGTTTTGTTTTTGAAGTATTTTAAAAGAATTTCGAAGACCTCTTGTGTCTGGTCTTTAAAGTAGTTTGAAAGAATTTTGGGGACCTCCGTGAATTTTATTTTTCAAATAATTTGAAAGAATCTCGGACACTTCTTGTGTCTAGTTTTCGAAGTAATTTGAAAGAATCTCTGGGAGCACTTGGATCTGTTTTTTGAAGTAGTTTGAAAGAATGTCAGGGACTTCTTGCGTTTTATTTTGAAAGAATCTCGGAGATTCCTTGTGCCTGGTTTTTAAAGTAGTTTGAAAAAAATCTTGGGGACCCCTTATGAGTTTTGTGTTTTAGAAGTATTTTGGAAGAGTTTCTGTCTATTTTTTGAAGTAGTTTGAAAGAATCTCGGGGACCCCTTACGTTTTATTTTTGAAATAGCAGTAAATAATCTCGGGGAATTCTTTTCTCTCATTTCTTAAATAATTTGAAAGAATCTCGGGCGCCCCTCTTGTTTTGTTTTTGAAGAATTTTAAAAGAATTTCGAAGACCTCTTGTGTCTGGTTTTTAAAGTAGTTTGAAAGAATTTTGAGGTCCTCCGTGAATTTTGTTTTTGAAATAATTTTAAAGAATCTCGGGGACCTCTTGTGTCTAATTTTCGAAGTAGTTTGAAATAATCTCCGAAACCACTTATCTGGTTTTTGATGTAAATAGTTTGAAAGAATCTTAGGGACTTCTGTGGGTTTTGTTTTTGAAGTAATTTGGAAGAATCTCGGGGACTCCTTGGGTTTTATTTTTGAAAGAGTAGTGTAAAGAATCTCGCGGGCCCTTTTTCTTTTGTTCTTGAAGTAGTTTGAAAAAATCTTGGAGGCCCCTTGTGAGTTTTGTTTTTTCAAAGTAATTTGAAAGAATCTCTGGGAACCCTTGTGTCTATTTTTTAAAGTACGTAGTTTGAAAGAATCTCGGGGACATCTTGTGTCTCATTTCTGAAGTAGTTTGACAGAATCTCGGCTGCCCATCTTGTTTTATTTTTGAAGTATTTTGGAATTTTGGATATCCCCCGTGAGTTTTGTTTTTGAAGTAATTTGAAAGAATCTCAGACACCTCTTTTGTCTAGTTTTCGAAGTAATTTGAAAGAATCTTTGGGCCCACTTGGGTTTCTTTTTTGAAGTAGTTTGTACGAATCTTAGGGACTCCTTACGTTTTATTTTTGAAGTATTAGTAAATTATCTCGGGGACTTCTTGCGGATTATTTTTGAAGTAGTTTGAAAAAATCTCGCGGGCTTTTAAAGTGGTTTGAAAGAATCTTGGAGACCTCCGTGAGTTTTGTTTTTGAAGTAATTTGGAAGAATCTTGGGGACCTCTTGGGTTTTATTTTTGAAGTAGTTTAAAATAATCTCGGACACCCTTGTGTCTAGTTTTTGAAGTAATTTGGACGAATCTCATGAACCCAAGTGGTTTTATTTCTGAAATAGTAGTTAAAAGAATCTCGGGGACGCTTTTTGTTTTGTTTTTGAAGTAGTTTGAAAAAATCTTGGGGACCCCTTGTGAGTGTTGTTTTTTAGAAGTAATTTGAAAGAATCTCGGGGACGCCTTCGGTTTTATTTTTGAAGTAGTAGTAAATAATCTGTGTCTGGTTTTTAAAGTAGTTTGAAAGAATCTTGGGGACCTACGTGGGTTTTATTTTTGAAGTAATTTGGAAGAATCTCGGGAATCCCGTGGGTTTTATTTTTGAAGTAGTTTCAAAGAATTTCGGAGACCCCTTGTGTCTGTTTTTTAAAGTAATTTGAAATAATCTAAGGGACCCCTTTTGTTTTTGAAGTATTTCACTTCATTTAAAAGTATGTATATAAAATTTGGATTCGAGCAACGGTGCTCTGGTGTACCACGGCTACTGGCGCTTCTAGAAATTTCCAAATTTCCAGATGTTCGCATCCGCCCCTGGTCTACAGAAAAAGAAATGTAACATTAGAAGTAGATTTTTGTGTGAAGTTTTTTCATAGACAGAAAAAAGTCTCTCTTGACCTATATTTTGAAGACAAATTAAAAAAAAAAAACTAAAATGTCATAGTCAAAATTGGCTGTCCGTAAGACGTCAGTTTAGGAAAAACATGAAAAAAATCGTTTTTTTTTATTTTTTAATGACGTAAATCCAGTGTGTCACAGTCACACTGGCACTTCAGTACGTAATAATACCTACATAAAAACTAAATACGATTCTAAAAGTCACCAAATTGTATTTTTTAAACCAAAAAAGTTAAATAATTGTTTCGTTTGATTTAATTAGAGAAATCAGTTTACAGCGACATATGTATTAAATTTGTTGATTGCTTGGAGTTGGACGAAGATTACTTCTTTATTAATTCGAATATTAAAAATGATCCGTTGGATTTTGTCGCCTTTTGTAAACGCGAATCGAAGATCGGAGACAGAACGCTGTCCTTTCTAATCAAGACCTGTGATGGGCCGCCCCTGCTCCTTTCAGTTCGCCCCTTACTAATGCACTCGGATTTTTCATCTTAATTGAAAGAGTTTGGACCAGATGTCTCCAATAAGTATGAATCAGGATACTGAGTATTTAGATGTGGTGCGGTGTATGACTGCTGGCTGTATACTTTGTACTCCGGAGCCACACCGGCTTCGCCCCACTATAAATTAAACGAGAGCTTTCGACTTGATAGATGTGTTCGATAAAGTTTTTCCCTGTTTGAAATTAAGATATTTGCGCGGTATAATTAGAAATGAAGCTAATTTTGCATTCTTTGTTTTCGGCTCGTACTTTAATTAAAGACTTTAACAAATGCCAGGTGCCTTCTGCTCACTTCGCACCTCAACTTCTTAATGTCGAAATTAAAAAGCGGTTTTAAATATAATTTAATGTGAATTCTGTGAACTTCCTCTGTCGTAGAGCTGTCGCCGCTGTTTTAAATTGAAAACAGAAACTTTCAAGATA